AATGGCACTTTGCATTCAAGATCATTCGTGTCTCACTAAACTTGTTCCAGAACTGCTGAACCAATTGGTGAGTTTTTACCTAGATGCAGACAACTGACCTCTTTTGACACTTCATGTCCAAGTGTGGTGGCAATTTTATACATCTGTGTCTTGTGGTTATGACATCTATGTCTTTCAAAAATTAAAAACTGAAAAATCTTGTTGCATCAGTCACGGCTGCAGGCTAGTTAGAAATGGCAAGAGCTGGTTGTTGTCTTTCAGCACAAAAGTATGAAAGATCCAGCCTGAGCTCCAGAGGGTGTCTCCTGGGTGACAATCTAGTAGACTCAGTAAGATTTAGGGACTGGAGGTCTAGGTACAGGGGCCCAGCTGCAGCATCACCATTGGTGTCTGAAAGTTTATGCAACTTTCAAGAAAGTGAATCTGAGTAATAAAGTTGAAGGTGTATGTCAGTGCTACTTTTGATAAGGAATTCCAGAGGTTGAGGCAGTTAAACTCCTCAGATGAAAGGGAGAGAAAGTAGTGACTACAGGTGTTTGTCATATAGCTGAACACTGATGAAATTAAAAAATGATCAGTGTGAGCAGTTACCTACTCTCTGATCACCTTCAGGAGTTCAGTTTTGTGTGCTTTTCCCCACAGACTTTTTGTCTTTGTTGTTTTGGCAAATATATGTGTATTTGCCTTTGAGCTGGGGCTGAACTTGCTACTAGTTTCCTGTGTTTTCAATTGAGAAAAGTTTTCTTTCACAGAGGGAAAGTGACTAGGTATTTACAAGGGTGTGTTTGTATTTGTAGCCCTGTGTATCAGTGGAAGGCCTTTTTAGATCATTCTAGAAGGTGAATTGATTCATAGAAATCCATTATTTGTGCTCACTAGGTGGGTATCTATTATTAAAGGGTAGAAAAAGGAATATAAGTAAGTATTGAGTTAGCAATTAGTTGTCAAAATTGTATTTTGTAAGTTATTTTTATTTCCTGGAGAATTACATATGGATTCACATTTATAAATTACTCATAATCAAAGTAAATCTGTGAACAAACCAGACGTGTTTGATGAACAATTATATATCTTTTCCCTGCTTTTATCATGTGTGGAATGTAATGCAAACAAGCATCAGATTAGCTTGGTTTTATTTTATTGCATTTATGAAAGACTTTTTTTTTTCATGGAAGAGCCTAATTAGTGAACTTCCTAAATTTTTTCACACTGGTTTATGGGTCAAAACATTTCAGGTTATGAAAAATGCAAACGTGTTCAGTTAAACTGAATTACAAAAAATGGTGACTTTACTGTAAAAGAAAAGGACTGGTGTTTTTGAACTTCAGACAGTGTTGCAGATTGTTTGGACTTAGTTGTTACACTTGCAGTGTTTCTTACAACTTTTCTATTTTATCTCTTTGGCAACCTTTCAATAACACCGGTGATTGTGTTGTTTGTAGTGTCAATCTAAATGACTTGAAGATTTTGGGACAATATGAAGTTGGGTAAATTTATGAGAAATCTTTGATTACCCATAAAAGTTTTAAACAAATTAAAATTCCTAGAGAAAAGGTACTGAGTCACCAAGGACAGTTTTGACCTGTTTTTTGTAAAGATTCAGTTGAGATGGTAAGTTCAATGTAATATATACCTTATCCTTAATACGATGATAAGGTTAATTATGAAGTTATTGTTGAAAGCTAAAAATGATATTCTTACATAGCTGTATGTATATTTTGTATGTTTAAGCTTATACACATATATAAATGCATACTAAAGTTAATGAGCAAAAGAAACTGATATATGATAAAGATGAGAGACCTGGTAGTTTAAAACTGGTCTTGGAATATTCAGTCTGCTGTGAACAGAGGTGTTGAAATCTCATTCTTTGCCTCTATCTAGTCTGCCTGGGGAGCAGAGATTCTTATCTTGTCAGAATATACTTCTGAGTACTTGAGTTTTGTCATGCTATTAAATTGTTACATCAGATAAACACAATTTGTCACATCTGACAGATCTAAAGTCACTTAATAATTTTCTGTTACCTACTGTTAGGTTTATTTAAAAAACAAAATGAAACTATCGTCACTCTGGCTATTAAGGTAGTCAATTACATCTATTTCGTTGTTTTTGTTTAGAAAACTAAAATCGTGAAAGTGTTTTTGCATTCAAAGTCATCTTTGGCACTTCTTAGGTGACCAAAGCACCCAAGGCCTGTTCTCTTAGCTTGAAATTCACGACATGGCAATCAGCAGCAACAAGGATGCTGCAAGCAATGAGGTACATTTGGTCTGCTCCACGTTTCTTAATTAGCATAGCCCTATTTCAGGACCCATCCTGAGGAAATGTGGGGAAAAACTGTCAAATCCAAAAGAGAAACAGCCCTTTCTGGGGTAAATTTATTAATACAAATATGTTCCGTCAGATATCGCATACTTGCCAGGATGGATAGAAAGGCCTAGGGATTTGTCAGTGCTCTCTCTGTAATAATAAAATAGTTCTGTCTTACACCCTAACAGTGGTTTCTACTTCTCTATTTTGATATTTCTGGTTATCGAAATAAATGAGCAAGAGCCATTCAGTTTTGTCATCGATAGGAAATTTCTAGGCTCCCCTAGTCTTGCCTGCAGACTTTTGGACTATGAGCCAGAAGTTGTGTCATGTGAAGACAGGTGCAGAAGAACACATTCACAGTCAAAATGCAGCTTGGATTGTGCAAAGGGGTTGACTCATTAGTATGGGCTTCCCAGTGTTAGCTGACATTGGCACTGTGAGGAGACTCTTGTAAAGCCATGCCAGGAGTTGAATCGGGTTCATAGAACCTGTTTAGTCCAGGAGCAGACTGCTGTGTGAAAGTGATCTCTGACCAGGATTGAGCAGAACAAAATTAGTTATGTAGGGTCACGGAATCAGTGAGGGAAATTTAATATGGTCAGTGTCCTATTTTGTGATGGGCGTATGAGGAAGCCCTTTTTCTTTCCTCTTGATCTATTTCTAATCCTCTCTTTAGAAAGCTATACTTATGCAAGCTGGAATGGAATTCTTTTTGAATGATATCTTAATCCAATTGAGACCCCCAGAATTCAGGGAAAAAGGTGGGAAGTCATAGTTTAGTTTATAAACTGGGTGAATCATCAAAGGAATGTAAAGATGATGATAATTCTAGTACTTGGAATTCAGATGAATTCACAATGGATTAAGCTTAGAAAAATATATGGAATGACATTTAACTTATTCTAACAACCACACAGTCAAATTATTTTATAAATAACATAAAAGATATTAATTGATCTTGTCTTACTGAACATATACAAACACGTACATCACCATGAATGATGAAGAGCTCAGTAACAGTCTTGTAATAGGATTTACCCTCATGAATGCATTAATGCCCTTAGCGTGGGAGTGGGTTAGTTATCAAGAGAGTTCACACCCTTTTTCTCTCTTGCAAGTTTCACTCTCCCTTGCCATGCAATGCCTTTCCCATGTTATGACACAACAGAAATGCCCTCAGCAGATGCAGCCCCTCGACCTTGGACTTCCCAGCCTCCAGAACCATGTGCCAACTCTCTCTCTTTCTTTCTTTGTTTTTTTTTTCTTTTTAATAAATTAAGCAGTCTATGGTATTCTGCTACAACAGCAGCAAATGGACTAAGACAGGGGACCTCAAGAAAATAAGGAAATCTTTCACTAGAGGTACTCCAGGAAATCTCTCATCAGAAGTATTGCAGGCAAAACCTGGTGAATTCATATTTCCTGGGTTTGGTTTCCTAGCATTGGAATAGGTGGTTAGAAGAGTAGTAAAAAACACCAAAAAAACAAAACCAAAAAACTCTTGAATTCTAGAGATAAATGGAGATTCCTACCATAATCTTCAGATTAAAGTTAATTCCCTGGTTTTAATGGCTCTGAATCATCTGTCTCTAGATTTGCTGACATACAACAAGAAGGCTTAGGTGTGTTTATTCATTCCTTTTACTGTTAACTACGTGAATGATTCAAGGTAGACAACAGAACACTCTTACAATATAAATCTCCAAGTTCAGAGACCACATGAGGAATGAAAAATGAGAAAGAGCTACTGTGTGAGTCAGGAGAAAGAATATTTTTGTCAGAGGGAGAAAAGCTCATGCAAAGACCCTCTGAGGAGAAAGAGGTTCATTAGCTCTGGGGTTTAATCAGGATCGTTGGGGTATGAAGAGTGAGCAGAAAGTAGAGAAAATGAGAGACGGGAGACAAGTAAGGGAGGATATTGCCCTGCCATGCCAAGGCTTACAGGCCATGACAGGTAACTGTATGTTATTCTGCATGTGTTTGGAAGCCTCTGAATATTTTTGAGCAGGGGGGTGAGATGATTTGATTAGTATGCTGAAAAGATCAACTTGCATCCATATGGAGATGGGTTAGAAGGTGCCAGTATTGAAGATGGAATAAAAAATAGCCTCTCCCCTTGCATAAGCTCTTCTTCCACTCCATGAGGAGCTGTTGGCGAGAGGAGGACGGCTTGAACCAGGGGCTGGCAGGGGGATGGCGAGAAGTACACCTGAGCATGTTTTGAAGGGACAGCCAAAGATATTGGCGTTAAGGAAAAGGGAAGAAGCAAGGACGATTTCTAGACTTATGACGTGATTAGGAATGGGTATACTCTAGCTCCATTCACAAAGATGGCATTTCTTCTTTCCAGAAGGAAAAGTTTTGGTATGGGGTGGTACGGGCAAAGCAATCAATGGTTTTCACAAATATTTTTGGAATATCTATTATATGTCAAGCACCATGTTAGGTGCTCAGTAAGTATTGGTTAAAACAGGTTTGTTTGGCTCCAGTAGGGGTTCCCACTGGCTTTCTGGTGGGAAGAAAGAAGACCAAGGAAGTAGTTCTGAGGACCACAGAGAGTGATATAAAAGTGTTGAGTGGAAAGAGGGAGAAGTCAGGGGACACCTAAAGCAAACCCATTTGAAGGTGCTATCTTCAGAGACAAAGAGGACTAAGGCCCTGCCTCTGTCCCTCTTCCCCATGTCTCCTAAGGCCCTGGTTTCAGTCACCTGTGCCTCCCGTGTGCCCTAATCCACTGCTAATACCTGTTCATTTCATTACAGCATCACGGATGAGCCCTCCCAGCAGAAAGGGCTCTGGTAATTCAGGGTTCAAGTAAGAATATCCATTTTCTAGAGTTGCACTGTCCAAGGCAGTAGCCTCTAGCCATATGTGGCTATTTAAATGTACATTTAAATGAATTAAATGACGTAAAGCTGAAAGTTTAGTCCCTCAGTCCCATTAACCACATTTCCAGTGCTCATAGCCACAGGCGACTTGCGGCTACCTTATTGGGAAGCACAGGTGAGGAGCATTCCATCGTCAAGGACAGTGCCGTCTAGCAACTCCAGGCTCAGGGGAGACACTCCCGGGTTACAATTCACTAATTCTCCTTGTGTGAAGAGTCTGTCTTTCTTCCCTCACTTACTCTGTGAGCTTGGATCACCACTTACCAGTTGCATGTCCTTGGGGAATTCACTTAAAACTTTTGGGGCCTCAGTTTCCTTATTTGTAAAGTGAGAATGAAAATCATACCATGGCTGCGTGTGCAGTTAAAGCACTTAGGACAGTGCCCAGTATGCCAGTATAGTCAGCGCTCAGTCAGTGTTGGCTGTAGTTGTTCCTTCTGTCTGTTTCCTCCTTATGATGGCCAGTCGTGTATGCACATAAACCACTACTTTAAACACAGCCCCTCACCCTGCACAAGCTCCTCTTCCAGTCATGAACAAATGAAATCTCTCTTGTGTAATTGCTGTCACATCCGCAGGTTGTGTTTTGGTAGGAAGATATCTGAACAGCCTAATAAGTCTTGGGACCAGATTGGAGAGGGTAGAGGCAAGGGACTTTCCCTGCAAATCTGGAACAGGGCAGGATCAGGAAAAGCCAAGCAGGGTGTGGCAGGATGAATCCTGGTGAGGAGGAAACCCTCGCCGTGTATCAATGGAAGACTCCCAAGTGGTGTACTTACTGACAAGTGGATGAACACTTTATGGAAATACATGGAACTTTTGCACTCACCAATAAAAGAAAATGGAAAAGAAAGAATACTTACCCAGAAATGAGAGAANTGGGTTTGGTTTCCTAGCATTGGAATAGGTGGTTAGAAGAGTAGTAAAAAACACCAAAAAACAAAACCAAAAAACTCTTGAATTCTAGAGATAAATGAAGATTCCTTCCATAATCTTCAGATTAAAGTTAATTCCCTGGTTTTAATGGCTCTGAATCATCTGTCTCTAGATTTGCTGACATACAACAAGAAGGCTTAGGTGTGTTTATTCATTCCTTTTACTGTTAACTATGTGAATGATTCAAGGTAGACAATAGAACACTCTTACAATATAAATCTCCAAGTTCAGAGACCACATGAGGAATGAAAAATGAGAAAGAGCTACTGTGTGAGTCAGGAGAAAGAATGTTTTTGTCAGAGGGAGAAAAGCTCATGCAAAGACCCTCTGAGGAGAAAGAGGTTCATTAGCTCTGGGGTTTAATCAGGATCGTTGGGGTATGAAGAGTGAGCAGAAAGTAGAGAAAATGAGAGACGGGAGACAAGTAAGGAAGGATATTGCCCTGCCATGCCAAGGCTTACAGGCCACGACAGGTAACTGTATGTTATTCTGCATGTGTTTGGAAGCCTCTGAATATTTTTGAGCAGGGGGGTGAGATGATTTGATTAGTATGCTGAATAGATCAACTTGCATCCATATGGAGATGGGTTAGAAGGTGCCAGTATTGAAGATGGAATAAAAAATAGCCTCTCCCCTTGCATAAGCTCTTCTTCCACTCCATGAGGAGCTGTTGGCGAGAGGAGGATGGTTGAACCAGGGGCTGGCAGGGGGATGGCGAGAAGTACACCTGAGCATGTTTTGAAGGGACAGCCAAGGATATTGGCGTTAAGGAAAAGGGAAGAAGCAAGGACGATTTCTAGACTTATGACGTGATTAGGAATGGGTATACTCTAGCTCCATTCACCAAGATGGCATTTCTTCTTTCCAGAAGGAAAAGTTTTGGTATGGGGTGGTACGGGCAAAGCAATCAATGGTTTTCACAAATATTTTTGGAATATCTATTATATGTCAAGCACCATGTTAGGTGCTCAGTAAGTATTGGTTAAAACAGGTTTGTTTGGCTCCAGTAGGGGTTCCCACTGGCTTTCTGGTGGGAAGAAAGAAGACCAAGGAAGTAGTTCTGAGGACCACAGAGAGTGATATAAAAGTGTTGAGTGGAAAGAGGGAGAAGTCAGGGGACACCTAAAGCAAACCCATTTGAAGGTGCTATCTTCAGAGACAAAGAGGACTAAGGCCCTGCCTCTGTCCCTCTTCCCCATGTCTCCTAAGGCCCTGGTTTCAGTCACCTGTGCCTCCCGTGTGCCCTAATCCACTGCTAATACCTGTTCATTTCATTACAGCATCACGGATGAGCCCTCCCAGCAGAAAGGGCTCTGTTAATTCAGGGTTCAAGTAAGAATACCCACTTTCTAGAGTTGCACTGTCCAAGGCAGTAGCCTCTAGCCATATGTGGCTATTTAAATGTACATTTAAATGAATTAAATGACGTAAAGCTGAAAGTTTAGTCCCTCAGTCCCATTAACCACATTTCCAGTGCTCATAGCCACAGGCGACTTGCGGCTACCTTATTGGGAAGCACAGGTGAGGAGCATTCCATCGTCAAGGACAGTGCCGTCTAGCAACTCCAGGCTCAGGGGAGACACTCCCGGGTTACAATTCACTAATTCTCCTTGTGTGAAGAGTCTGTCTTCCTTCCCTCACTTACTCTGTGAGCTTGGATCACCACGTACCAGTTGCATGTCCTTGGGGAATTCACTTAAAACTTTTGGGGCCTCAGTTTCCTTATTTGTAAAGTGAGAATGAAAATCATACCATGGCTGCGTGTGCAGTTAAAGCACTTAGGACAGTGCCCAGTATGCCAGTATAGTCAGCGCTCAGTCATTGTTGGCTGTAGTTGTTCCTTCTGTCTGTTTCCTCCTTATGATGGCCAGTTGTGTATGCACATAAACCATTACTTTAAACACAGCCCCTCACCCTGCACAAGCTCCTCTTCCAGTCATGAACAAATGAAATCTCTCTTGTGTTAATTGCTGTCACATCCGCAGGTTGTGTTTTGGTAGGAAGATATCTGAACAGCCTAATAAGTCTTGGGACCAGATTGGAGAGGGTAGAGGCAAGGGACTTTCCCTGCAAATCTGGAACAGGGCAGGATCAGGAAAAGCCAAGCAGGGTGTGGCAGGATGAATCCTGGTGAGGAGGAAACCCTCGCCGTGTATCAATGGAAGACTCCCAAGTGGTGTGCTTACCGACAAGTGGATGAACACTTCATGGAAATACATGGAATTTTTGCACTCACCAATAAAAGAAAATGGAAAAGAAAGAATACTTACCCAGAAATGAGAGAAGGCATTTACAAGAAATGTTTTTTCCACCATGTGATCTGGAATGTCGAGGAAGAGCTTGCCTGTTACAATGCCAGCGTTGTTAATGAGGATGGTCACATCGCCGACTTCTTTCCTAACCTGGTCAGAAGTGAGGCAAACATTCATTCAATTGAGGTTTACATGTTGATACTTATTTTCCCAAGTCACTATTTTTTCCCTCATTTTATTCAGGTAGTTTCTTTAGTATTGCATATTTTATTTTTATCTGCTATGAAAGGAAGACTTAATATCGCTAGTGTTAGGCTGAGGTATTAGACTCCTACTTTGGAGAGAGGCAGAATAGAGGAGAGGCTAACTTTAAAAAAATTTTTTTAATCTAATCGTATCGATTGTACATATTTATGGGGTACAGAGTTATATTTCAGTACATGTATAATATGTGTACTGATCAAATTAGAGTAGTTAGCAAATTCATCACTGTGAAAATTTATTGCTTCTTTTGATGAGCACATTTAAGCCCCTCTCTTGTAGCCACTTGATAGCATGCGATAAATTGTTAATTATAGATGGCTAGCACTACCGTATACCAGTAGAACTTATTTTTTCCTATCTAGCTGTAATTCTGTGTCCATTAACCAACCTCTTGCTATCCTCCCTTTCCCCTGCTCTTTCCCATCTCTATCTCTAGTAACCACAGTTCTAATCTCTACTTCCAAAAGTTCAGTTTANCTTTCCCATCTCTATCTCTAGTAACCACAGTTCTAATCTCTACTTCCAAAAGTTCAGTTTATTTATTTATTTATTTTAGCTTCAATGTGTGAGTGAGAACAGGCAGTATTTCTCTTTCTGTGCCTGCCTTATTACGCTGAACGTAATTTTCTCCAAGCTCATCCGAGCTGCTGTGAGTGGCAAAATTTCATTTCTTTTTTAAGGCTGAGTAGTATTCCATTGTGTATATATACCACATTTTCTTTACCCAATCATCTGTTGATGGACATTTAGGTTGTTTTCAAACCTCGGCTATTGTGAATAGAGACATGATAAACATTGGAGTGCAGGTGTCCCTTTGACTTGTTGATTTCCTTTCTTTTGGGTGTGTACAGAGAGATAGATACCATAAAAAAGAACCAAGAATATATCTTGGAACTGAATAATTCATTCAGTGAAGAAAGCAAGCTCATTTACAATAGCTTTCAAAAAATTAATTATCTGGAAATAAATTTAATGTAGGAAGTAAAGATCTCTGCAATGAAAACTACAAAACACTGATGAAGGAAATTAAAGAGGATACCAATAAATGAACAGACATTCCATGTTCATGGACTGGAAGAATTAATATTGTCAAAATGACCATACTACTCAAAGCCATCTACAGATTCAATGCAATCCCTTTCAAAAAACCAATGACATTCCTCACAGAAATAGGAAAAATAATCCTAACATTCACATGTAACAACAAAAGACTGGATATCCATGTGTAGAAAAGGTGTGGTTGGCTGTGTGCAGTGACAACAGGAGGGCAGACAGAGGACCCACGAAGGCACAGCCTGGCAGGTGCCCTGTGGTTTGTCAAGACCATCAGTGGTTCCCGCCCCCATCCCCCAGGATCCACACGAAAAGATTCGGGATGGAGACCCCAGATGCTTCCGAATATGAGGATGGGAGGGAGAGCCCCAGGCAGGTGTGCCTTCAGCCCTGCCAGCCTGGCTCAAGCTAGCATCAGGGTGTAGTGGATTGAATAATGTCCCCCCCAAACTCCCTGAAGCTTGAATTGTGTCCCCCAAGTTTTATGTATTAGAAACTTGGCCCCCACTGTGACTGTTAAGAGCATGGGAGATCCTATTACGGTCACTGAAAGGTGAAGCCTTGAAGAGGTGATTGGATTGTAGGACCATGCAGTAGTGAATGGATTAAACATGCTGGTCAGGAGCGTGGTTCTGAGGGCTTTAAAAGAGGAGGAGAGTCTGTCTTTCTCTCTCTGCTCTCTCTGCTTCCACCGTCTTGCAACGTAAGACTCCTGGGTCACTGTTGCCACCACCAGATGGAATTTGGACTTCTGAGCCTGAGAAACTGTAAGCAGTAAATTTCATTTTCATTATAAATCACCCTGTTTCAAGTATTCTGTTATAGAAACACAAAATGGACTAATACACAGGGGAAACCATTTCAGGACCCTTTGGGGATACAACATGGGCTTTGATGCCAGGAGGATTGGGTCCTCTGTCATCTCTATNCCCTTTGGGGATACAACATGGGCTTTGATGCCAGGAGGATTGGGTCCTCTGTCATCTCTATCACGTATGTGCTCTGTGGCTTGGATAAGTTCCTTAAACTCTCTCTGCCTCTGTTTCATTGTTAGTAAAATGGAGAAAGTGATAATACCTCCTTCATTATGAAGATATGATAAAGCATCAACAGAACAGACATCCCCAGGGGGGCTGACCTGGCTAGTTAGTGGTACTGGGACTGAAGCCCGTGCTAGACAGGCTGCTTCCAAGAGCTCATCCCAGACATTAATTTATGAACTTTTCTTGCCACATGTCTCTCCCTTTTGCGAAATGAGGACTAACTTTGATTCCACATGCTCTGTACTAAATTAAATACACCTAGGGGTCTATAATGCACATATTCTCATTAGCTGACAGTGAACTATAAAGAACAAACCCGATGGGGCCCCAGAACAAAGAAGGAGGCAGTGGAAGATGAAGGAGAAGAGTGAAGAGTGTGGTTCAGAAGATAGATGTCACAGAGTTGTGATTCAACAAATAAAATACACCTAGGGGTCTATAATGCACATATTCTCATTAGCTGACAGTGAACTATAAAGAACAAACCTGATGGGGCCCCAGAACAAAGAAGGAGGCAGTGGAAGATTAAGGAGAAGAGTGAAGAGTGTGGTTCAGAAGATAGATGTCACAGAGTTGTGATTCAACAAATATTTTTGGATGAATCAATAAGTGAATTCCATATATGGAGCTTAGACTGCCAAAGGGAAGCACAATCTATTTGGAGATTCTGTTATCAAACTGTACACATCTCTTTGGATCATAGCATAGTGGATAAGAGAGCAGACTTTGGCTCCAACCTGCCTGGGTTGGGATCTTAGCTCTGCCAATCACTAATTGCACGATCTTGAACAAGCTGCAGATTCTCTCTGCTCAGTGTCCTCATTTGTAAATGGGCATGTTAATAATGACATACATCCAACAGGGTTGTGTTGTGTTGAATAATTGTCATGTGTATAAAATGCTTAGAAGAGTAACTATTTGTAATATAGTTGTTTTTGTTGTTGTTTTTGTGTGTTTTCTTGGTGCTGTCTTGAACTAGTTTTGAGGTCCGGGCTAGAGGATCCTTGTGGCTAGTTCCCCTTCCTGGGCAGTCAATTAAGTCCACACCCCCCAATCACCTCCATTATTGGGTTCTAACACTCTGGGATACTATACACCCACCCCAGTCACCCCAGGGCCAGGTACCAGACAACCAGGGACAGCCTCTATGCCCCAAACACTCTGAAAGTTATTCACGTTAGCCAGTCCTAAGCCTGCTTACCCTACCTTGCTGATTTCTTCCTGTGGAGACCACCAAAAAGATGCTGGGCCACTGTTTGCTCTCTCCCTCTGCTTCATTATTGACCCTGGTTCTTCCCCGAGTGGCTCTGTGTGCTGTGCTGTGTCCTCCCCGGGGGACTGTGAGTATCACAAACCTGGGAGAACACAGTACAGCACACAGGGCCACTCAGGGATACAAGTCCATCCTGTTTCTCTCACTTGATCTGCGTCTGGTCTTACCACACCTCACCCACGGTAATATGGTTAAAACACTCCTCAAAAGGTTACCCGTTGTTGTTAGAGCACATGATAACTACACAATAAATGTTAGCTAGTAATATTAGAGCATTTATCAATATTTAGTGTGATGTTAGAACAAATATCAACAGGCTATGTCAAAGAAGAAATTTGGTGTAAAAATATTCCAAATGCTTCTACCCTATATTCCATACTCTTTATATCCTCAGTACATCAAGATAATGGATATGCATTAGAATCATAAAACATAGAAGGTTAAGTTAAAGATGGATATAATCTTGAAGACCATCCAGTTCAATCCTTTCATGTTACAGATGAAGAAGCAGGAACCTAGAGAAGGCAAGTAACTTGTTAAAAATTGCACAACCAACAAGCAGCAGAGCCAGGACTACTCCCAGTTTCTACCGACTCCTGATGGTAAATGAGTCACCAAGAAAAACAGTTGGGAAATAATGGGTTCAGGAGACTTACCAGATTCGCCTGTGCATTGTTTTATGTTGTGCTCCTTTTTGGAGGTTACAACATCAGACTTCTGACATGCAGAATCAAGCAGTAGACACATAGGGATCTTGCAAGAAGTTGGTGACAAAATTCTCTCCTCCTCTTTGTAATACAAAGTGCATACTCTATGCAATGTTTTTCTTGGCATAGAAATGAGAGCAATTGCTTACCTGAGCAGCAACTCTGTAGACCTCTTGCCTATTGCTACAGTCACACTGATAGGCAAATACTTTCACAGCACCCTTTTCTTGGGCCAGTCTACGTGTTTCCATGTTTCCTTCTTGATTAATGTCCCACAGAACTAAAATGGCACCATAGCTGGCAAAATGTATAGACAATAGCCTCCCAAGTCCACTTCCAGCACCTGTTATTAGTACAATCTCTCCAGCGACATCCTTTCTCCTTCTGGGAATTATTTTGTAAGCTAAAGATTCCAAAAGGTAATATAGGAATTTTCCCAAAAATATAGAGGTGTCTATAATTACATCCATGTTCACTGACTGAAGAAAGGAATGTCCTAAGAAGGAAAAAGGTAACTGATAAATCCATTGCACTGTGATAACAACTGCAGTACACATAAGGCTTTTAATATAAGGGAATTTGCCTTTGACACATTAATTATCCAGAATATGTTTTAGGGACAATTACCAAAATTGCTGAATTTTTAAATTATGTAAATAATGATTATGAGAGTATTTTCTGTTAACAAGTACCTTCCCAATTGACAGGGTACTTTCTTACATACAATATAGTTTGGCCTGTAGGTGGGTCACAGATTACTAGGACAGCCTTACAGTTAAAGACAGCATGTCTTTGAGTCTTGACTTGCCCAAATTATGGACTAGTAAACTAAAACTTTGGATTCTCACTCCAGTCATTTTTCTATTTTATGAACATACTTGATCTTCTTTCCAATAGAAACTTGCTTTTTGTTAGGCAGTGTTTCAATATATAAGTAATATTACAATACAAATAAAACATTTATACGTATATATACAGAACCCATATTAAAACAGACCAGAGCCGTTTGAGGCAATAACAATCACAAAATTAATAATAATAACAATATTATTATTAATAATAATAGCAGCAATACCATTATTATTAATACTATGGAATTCTTCCCACATCCCAGAAAAATTCTAAATGCTCAGCATGCATCAAGTCATTTACCTCTTGCAGGGTTGCCCCATTTTACAGTTGAGAGAACAGAGTCACTGAGGGGTTAAACAAACTAGCCCATGGTCATGCAATTAATAATGGTGGCAATGGAATTTGAACCCACACAGTGATTTCATTGCCTAAGTTCTTAAATACTGAGTAATGCAGCATTTCCCTCCCCAAAGAGCAAAAGTTGAGTTTGATAAAAATAATTGTCTTTGTATGACTTCTCCTTCATTTTAAGTCAGTCAGGAATTAACTTTGAGATGTCCCTGGAGCCCAAGTGAGGATGCAGAAGGACCCAGGCTGCCTCCTCTTGCTGTTAGACCCTGTCCTGCCAGAAATTCCCACTGAGATAAGATAGAAAGAGAGCATAATTGCCAGAACACCAGTGGAAATATTTATGTAGGGTTGGGAAGGGAAGAAAAATCCCCAGGAAAGCATTTCGGCCTTCCTTGCACCCAGTTTATTGAACACAAATTAGGTTCAAAACTTTAGATGGTGAGTTTTAAAGATGCTGCATTACAGTCCCTGCTCTTGAAGGACAGAGTGTGGTTCTGGAGTCTGACAAGTAAACACAGGGTTGCAGAATGGTAAGTGATGCAGGAACAATCAGGGAGTCCGATTCTCAGCAGGGGAGTGAAAAAAAATGGGTAGGGAGGATTACATTTGAGTTTTATCTAGAAGGCTGCCTCCAAGACAGAGCAAGGAGAAAAGACATTGCAAGTCTCTCCCATTAACTTATTTGGATTTATTGAGAATATTAACTATCTTCCAAAAGGTATTATCCTTGAAAAATGTTAGGGACATACACTTATCCTAGTGTTCACTAAGAGTTAAGGCAGATTTCAAGTTTACGATCAGGCAGATCAGACTACAGAAAATTCATTCTCTTCTCAAAGCTTATATAGACATTTCTGTCTCAAGCACACCCTGACAGCATGTAATATATTACAATGATGAAAAGAAACCATATCTTATCATCTGTTAAAAACAGTATTGATGGAGAAAGCCGTGGGATTTTTATATAGTAAGAGAGAATTAGAACTTTCCTCATACCTTTTATGTACAAGAAAGTTTGTTCTCAAGGTAGATGATCTGATTTATCTTGAAAAAAATTGAAGTAGCTTGGTATGAAAATTATTCAATTTTAGAAACATTTTGTTATGCTTTGGGACCACTCTGAGGACAAGAGTTTTGACATTTTTCCAATCATTTATTGTTTAAATGTTTCCTGAACTAAGAGACCACACTCTAAGTCCTTTTCTCCGCGTTAGCTGGTGGCAGGTGTAGGACCCTGTGGAGAGGCCAGAAATAGGTGCTCATCTGTGTGTGCACCGGCTCACCCAGCACCTGCTCTCTGGCCACACTTGCTTTTCTCCCTTCTTCTTTCACTACCTCTTCCCCTCAACCTGTCAAAAGCCATAAAAGTGAACAAGAACAGTTAGAAAAGAGGAACAAAGAGTTATTGGAGATGATACTAGAATTATTTCACATCCCTATTTAGGAATTGCACAAAATCATGCTCAGAGAAACTAGTTCTCAACAGCAGGCACCTGAAATGTTCTCCAGAGTGGCCAAAGGACCTGCTCTTACCTGCAGAAGTGCTACTCTCAGGTGGCACGGGTGTCTTCACAGAGGCTGAAGTGAGCAGAGCTCATGTCAGCAGCTAGAAGCTGTCTCTTAAACGACTTTTTTGCTTATCCTCCCACACATTTTGATACCTGTTTGGTTGCCAGATGAAGGAGTGTCAACATTGAGGATTTGCATGTACTTTACCCATGTTTGAATTACTATCATCTATGCATGCAGACCATAGTGGCCTGGGGTAGAGTTGTGTCCTGTGAAGGCATGTGATTAATTTATGGGTGTAATTGTGCCATTATCCTAAGTCCTCCAGTAGGTGTCCTGAAACCTTTATTTCTATTTCAAGAACAAAAACACTTTCTTAGCTCAATTAGAAAAAATGTGAAATACTGTTGCTGACTCATCTAAACAATTTAATAGTCAGGATACATTATTTACTGCCACTTTTTATTATGAAAATATTCTAACACACAGAAAACTTGAGGAAGTGGTACACAAATGTTTGAAGAATGTACACTTAGACCAAACAATTGAGCCAAGCATTTTACCGTATTTGCTTTATATCTTCTCCTGTCTATCTCTGGCTGATCCATTTGAAACTAAGTTGCACATATTCTACTGTGAGTATTAAGCACTTATCTCCTAAGAAAGAAGTTATTCTATATAACCTCGATAAAATGATCAGACCTCATAAAATTAGCATTCATTCCATATTAACATCTGACATTAATCCATATTTAAACTTCCGTGCTTGTCCCAAAGACTTAAGATTCATGAATTGCATTTGGTTGTGATATCTCTCTAATATCTTTTCATCTAGAACAGCTCTGCCCTGTTTATTTAAACAATTTATTTATGTATCACTGACTCTTTGAAGAATCCAGGCCGGGTGTCTTACAGAATGTCTCACATTCTCTATTTGTCGGACTTTCTTTCCTCATGGTGTCATTTAACTGGACTTCCATTCCCTGAATCATCTTCAAATTTATCCAGGCCGGGTGTCTTACAGAATGTCTCACATTCTCTATTTGTCAGACTTTCTTTCCTCATGGTGTCATTTAACTGGACTTCCATTCCCTGAATCATCTTCAAATTTTAAGCTAGGTTTAGAGGCTTTATCACATTCATATTAAACATTTTTTGGCAAGAAAATGTCAGGCTGTACCACTATTAGTGATGCTAAATTCAATCCCTAGGAGAAGGTGGCAACCACAAGCTCCCTCCCTTGTAAAGGTACATTTTCCCCTTTAGGATTTCTAGAAGTCTGTGGGGTGATACTTGGGCACCATGTGACTATCTTGCTTTCCACAATCTTTCACCTAATGATTCTATGGATTTTATATTTTAAAGCAGATTTAGGTTCACAGGAAAATTGAGCAGAAAGCATAGAGAGTTTCTATGTACTCCTCTCTTGCCTCAGACTCCCACCATCAACATCCTACATCAGAGTGGACACTTGTGACAACTGATGAGCCTACACGGACACATCATTATCACTCAAAGTCCGTAGATTGCAATAGAGTTCACTCGTGGAGTTGCATGTTCTACGAGCCCACCATTACAGTTCCTCGCAGAGTAGTTTCACTGCCTTAAATATCCTCTGAGGTCTGCTTCTTCCTCCTACCTCCTGAAGCCCCTGGCAACCACTGCTGTTTTTAATGTCTCCATAGTTTTGCCTTTTCCAGAATGTCATATAATTGACATCATACAGTGATATAGTTAAGATATGTTTGTCCCTCCAAAGCTCATGTTGAAATCTGATCCCCAAGGTGGCAGTGTTAGGAGGTGTTTGGGTCATGAGGGCAGGTCCCTCATGAATAGATTAATGCCCTCCTGGGGGTGGGGCTGGTGAGTGAACTCTAGCTCTATTAGTTCCCTTGAGAACTTGTGAAAAAGGAGCCTGGCACTCCCCTCCCTCTCTCACCATGTGATCTTCTTGCACCTGCTGGCTGCCTGCCACCTCCTGCCATGAGTAGAAGCAGGCTGAGGCCTGAGCCAGATGCAACTGCCTCAGAATCAGAAGCCAAATAAGTCCTTTTTCTTTATAAACTACCCAATCTTAGGTATTCTGATAGAGCAACATAAACAGAACTAATATGGAAAATTGGTACAGAGAATGGGTGTTGTTACAATGATACCTGAAAATGTGGACGTGGCTTTGGAACTTGGTAATGGGCAGAGGTTGGAGGAGTCTGGAGGACTCAGAAGAAAACAAAAAGACAAGGGAGTAGCTGGGACATCTTAGAGGCTGGTTAAATGGTTGTGACCAGAACGCTGATAGAAATGTGGACAGTAAAGACCATGCTGATGAGGTCTCAGGTGAAAATGAGGAACTTACTGGGAACTGGAGAAAAGGTCACCCTTGCTAGATTGTAGCAAAGAGCTTGGTTGCATTGTGTCTATGCCCTATATATGCCCTAGGACTTTGTGGGAGGACAAATTTAAGGGTGATGAATATTTGCCAGAAAAAATTTCCAAGGAGCAAAGCGTTCAGTCACCTATGTGGCTACTTCTAACAGCATAAGGTGAATTACAGTAGCAAAGGCATGACCTAAAGGCTCTCCCCACTGTGCCCAGGAGGCATGACATGGAGTAAAAGGAGATTGTTTTGGAGCTTTAAGATTTAATGTCTGCCTTGCTGTGTTTCAAACTTGCCTGGGGCCTCTTTCTCCTTTCTTTTGACTTATTTCTCCCTTTTGGAATGAGAATGTCTACCCAATGTCAATTCCACCATTGTGTCTTG